TCCCAGCCTTAGATCATAAATGAATCAAACTGTAGAACTGTGCCTCAATGACTGCATGAGGCTTTGGGGGGAGAAATACACATAAACCCTAACAACATCTGAGTGCAGACTGATGCTAACATACACTTACATACACTTTTCTAGCATCAGAAAGAGTCTTTGTCTACAACCATACAAGCAGCTGGCACTCAAGACCGATTAAACATAAAATTCTAGTCATAACCCAAGTTGTTCATATGTGAAGTCAGCCATAATTCAAGGTCCATTGTATCAGAATTAGAAGTTAGGAACGGATCTCAAAGAACAATTCCTCAGAGACATCTTAAAAAACAAAAAACCAAGAGAATGTGACAAACAAATTCAACAGCTGCCGGATGACACTCAAAAACTCTGAGATGGATTGGAAATAATGAAAAATCAAAAGACAGAACAAAAGGCATAAAAACTTTTTTACAAAAATAGCAAAAGGGCTGGCAAGATAGCTCAATGGACTAAGCACCTGTTAGGCAAGCACAGGGACTGGGATTCAATCCCTAGCACCACATGCCACACTAGCCCCACCCCTGGCGTACTGAGCCAGCAACCGAGTCCAGGTATAGTGGAGCACACCTGTAATCCCAACACTGGGGAGGCTGAAAATGGGAGGATCACTATGAGTCTCAGCTGCGGAGTGAGACCCTTTACCAAATACATAAAATTTGAAAATAATAATAGCATAAAACTTTCTAAATATTGGGAAAGAGTGAAACATACAAAAAAGTGAGTCACATATAGCCATAACTGAAAGACAATGTCACTATATCATATCATACGCAAACTATCACAAGTCCCAGTTAGGGCACAATAACTCTCCCACTCCTACTTCTCTTCCAGTGCAGAGGGGGTGGGGGATAATCTAATGGGGGGTGTCTCTGCTTTGGCTCAATTTCTCAATGAAGATACATTAAGGGATATAATGGAGGTGGGATCTTTTAAATTTATGTTCACTTCTTCACTTTAATGAAGTTATGTTTGAATCAATTTTTTTTGTATTTTTGTATTTTTTGTATTTTAGGGAAGGGTCTACAGGCTGTTCAGGGTCCCATTACTAGATCGGACTCATAGTGATCTGCCTGTTTACAGCCTCCTAAGAGCTGGGATTATAGGCATGTGCCACCACCTCCAGTCTCAATCAAAATTTTTTTTTTAAAAATCAAGTCCAAATCAGAAACAGAATCTTAAAATCTCTTAAAGTAATCTTAAAGGAAAGCAATGAACTTATACAGGTAAATCCATGAGAAATATAGTAGCCTTCTCAATACAAACCTGAAAGACCAGGAGAATTTGGAATGAAGTATTTCAAGATTTGAAAGATAACTAATCTTCCAACCCAAAATTTTATGTCTTACAAAATTGGCTTTCAAAAATGATCAAGAAAGAAGAACTCTCTTATTCTACTTACTGGTTTTGAGAATAAACCTTAGTTTCACGTAGCCATGTAACATCACAGTATAATCCTTCTACCCACTTTTTCTAGGCTTTCTAAAGCAGTGTTTTTTATCAAACCTATTCTAATCTGAAATGGTAATGAGGCACTTTACCTTTGCCTTCAAACAGTACCTTCAGGGCCAGGGAGATAGCTCAGTAGAATAAGCACTTGCCTGGCAAGTGCAAGGTTCTGAGTTCAATCCCCAGTACCACAAAAACAAACAAACAACAAAAGCAAAACAAACAAAAAAACACAGTGCCTCCACTGTTTGCCCTTTCATGACAAACAGTACCTTAAGAAATTCATGACCGCAAGAATCAGCACACAAAACACTGTCAAGGATATTCTAGAAAGAACAATAAAGCCAACGATGTCAAAAGTCTGATAGAATGGATATAGCAGCAAGGTGAACAGGCAGAAAGTCTGTGTGTGCGGGAAGAATCAGCAAAAGGAAAACAATGCAGTGACAATAACACAGTACTTTTCACTAAGAACTCAATGTGAATAGTCTCAATTCCCCAATTAAAAGACACAAATAGGCAGAATAGATCAAGAAATAAATTCCAACAATATGCTGAATACACGAAAAATTTAAATAAAAAAGAAATAAAAAAAAGTTGGAAAATATTCCCTGCAACAGGAACCTGGGAAAAAGCTGGAATAGCTACACTAGTTACAAATAAAGTAGATTTCAAGACAAAACTGATTAAAAGCAGCAAAGTAGATCACTATATATTAGTTAAAGGAAGAATGCAACAGGAAAAGATAACAATTATAAATATATATGCCAACACCAACACACCCAACTTCATTAAACAAATACACTGGGCATAAAAAAAAATCCCATAAACACTAACATAATTATAATGGAAGACCTCAATATACCACTGTCAAATATATCAACTACACAAAAAAACCAACAAAGCCATATCGGAGTTAAACAAAACCTTCTAAAAAATGGACTTCATAGATACTTAACAGGGTGTTTTACCCAAAAGAATACACAATCTTCTTAGAAGTACATGGGGGGGTGCTGGAGAGATGGCTCAGTGGTCTAAAGCACCTACTTAGAACAAGCTTAGCAAAAGCTTAGCAAAAGCATCAGGGACCGCAGTTCAAT